CGAACCTATATTTGGTTAACCTTAGATAAATCTATTGCCTTTGTTTAAGTAAACAAAAATAAGCGTACAGATCATATTTGATTTTCTTTGAACTTTGAGATCATCAAGTTACCAATGCAAAAGGAAATACATTTGTTGTATTCTCTCTCTTTGCCAAGCAACTATTGTGGGGCCTGATTTAATGTTTAATGGTCTAAATTAATAAAAGGCCCAAGGGCATTTAAATGGTTTGGGCCATTTGGTACACATGATAAGTTTATCAATTTAAGATCGAAACATGATAAGTTTATCAATTTAAGATCGAAATAAAGACATTCTTTATCCCTTGTGAAAAACTCTTTACATCAATGCTTCCGTCTAGTATTAAGACACAATGACCTATTTAGTTTTCAATTTTACTCCATCTAATATCCTATTGATTTTTTTATTTTTTTTAACCGTCCCACTTAACCGTCCATTTTCTCTCTTATTTTCTTCTCTCTCTTTTTTTTTTCCCCCACAATTTCTCTCCCTGCTGTTTCTTATTCTTTCCTTCTTCATTCTTCTTCTTATTTCCTTGCACAACAATAGTTCTCCATTTTTGTTTTCTCTCTTCTTTTTTTATTCTTCTTCTAAATTCACGTAATACACTCTTTTAAAAAAAAATATTATTCCTTTTTTAGTTATTATTGTTCTTCCCAACAATAAAATTAGGGTTGTTGTAGATCTATTATATCTCTTTCTCACGAATTTAAGGTTGAAATTCAAAAAATGAAAGCATCTTTTACTACTAAGGTTGGATGCGCACCCGACTAAGGTTTGCCCCATGTGTGTTATCCTTTTTTTTTGTGTGTGTACAATGGTTTTCTACTTTTATTATAAAAAAGTTTAATCAAAAATTTCAATTAAAAAATGATGATTTATATATACATGTGTTTATATAATTAAAGGAGTTGTGTGTTCATATTATTGTAAATATAAAGTTGCTTTTATGTTATTTGACATATGTTATAATGTTGTTTTTATGTTACTTTTATGTAGATTTTTGTTTTCATGTTGCGTGCCATATGTTTTATTGTTGTCTTCTTATTATTTTGTTGTTTTCGTAATATATATCATTAATCTTTAAAGTCATAATAACAAACATTTTGGTGTTTTTCAGTTAATTTAATTTAATTGTTATGTATGTATATAACCAATTATCAATTTTTTTACTTATAATAACAAATATTTTGGTGTTTTTCAGTTAATTTAATTTAATTGTTATGTATGTATATAACGAATTATCAATTTTTTACATATTTTATATTTTTTTTTGTTTTTTTAGGTATTCATGTTTGGAAGAGAAGAAGAAAAACAAATATTTGAAGAAGAAGAACATGAAAAGAGAAGGGGAAGAAGAAAAGAGAAAGAAAAGAATTTACGGAAAAGATAATGAAGAGAGATAAAGAATAAATATAAAGAAAATAAATAATGATTTTTAATTAGGTGGTTTTGTTTATTTATTTGAGGTAGTTATATATTTCCTGCTTTGAAAGCGATTGGAGTATATTTTAAAATCCATGTGACTAGTATATTTAATGGAATCTTTGTGTTTATAAGAGTCAGTTATGTCTTTTCCCCATTTAAGATCTCTTGGTTCTTGAAAGTTCATATCACGTCTTCCAATGTCGCGACTTATTCACTTCAAGGCACGTCGTCCGTGAAAATGTCTCGAGGGGACATTTGTAAATGCATAAAATTTGTGGCCAATAAAATGGCGTCACGTGGAAATTAATTTATTAAAAATCAAGTCATATTTTCTATTTATATTTTAGAAACTTTTATATATTTAATTCTTAAATTTAAATAGTTAATTAATTGATATTTTAATATTTTAATTCTTGACTAATCAAATCAAGCCAAGTGTCAAATCCTTACTCTTGGTAAATAAATCATATCTTCTAGAATATCTTGAGAGATCTAAGTAGATCTAGAAAATCCCTAAATCCTAAAATCTTTCTATTTTTGGTTGTTTATATTCTTTAATTGAAATAATATATGAATTATTTGATTGAAACAATTTATTTTCTTTAGGGATCAAATTTAATGAGATATCCCACAAAAATTGGAGATTTTTAAGGTAACAAATTTGAAGATTCATATGCTAAAATTTAATTCATTTTATCAATACAAATCTCATTTTTATTGGTAACAAATTTGGAGATTCTTATGCCAAAAAAATGAGATTTTGAATTGAGATATCCCAACAATTACAAGTTTTTTTCCATTCAAATTACTGTTTCAAATCAAACAAAATTGTTCCGAGAATAATGGATGTTAGATTAAATATTGATAAACCCTACTCCTTCATAAATTATTTATATTTATGAATTTTTGTGTGTAAATATATTGATTTTCTTTTCTTCAATAATAATAAAATTACATTATTTTTAGGACCTAAATCCTAACTTCTTTTCTATTTTTTGGTGTTTATATTCTTTCATTGAAATAATATATGACTTATTTGATTGGAACTACTTATTTTCTTTAGGAAACAAATTTAAGTAAGATATCCCAAAAAAATTGGAGATTCTTAAAGTATAGAAATTCTTATGTCAAAATTATAATTCATTTCATAAATATGAATCCTATTTTTATTGGTATTAAATTTGGAGATTTTTATACCAAAAAATGGAGATTTTGAATTGAGATATACCAACAATTACATTAAGGTTGCAAATAAAACAAAAAATCTATATCTATATGATGGACCAATCTTTATTACTATAATTGACATAGTTTTAGGCGGGAAAATATTTTCATCTATATTTAGCATATAATCAGCCTTTATCTATTAGCAAATTTTATATATAAACATTAATTATTTTTTGTTTACTCATTGACAATATTCATTAGTTATAAATTGAAATAGAATATTGATTGATTACATATATTTTCAATAAGATCCTAATATTTATTTCGTAGTAATTTTTTGACATAATTAAAAAACTATTCAAATTATGAAATATTGATTTGATTAATTATATTATCATTTTATGGTTGTAGATATTAATTTTCTTAATTATGTTAAACGTTCAAAAGCACTTAAATATCTAACAAGTAACCAGATTAAATATGTTTGAAATTTTGAATCATATTAACTTAATGAATAGTTTACAATAATAATTTTTTTTTTTTAAAAAAAATATAGTCAACATAACCATTAAAAAATATATCTCCTTTGAATATATTATTTTATTAGATATACTATTAAAAATTAAATTTAATATATTAGTAAAATTATTATTTGATGGTCGAGTGAAATTAATAATTATAAGTTTACATTAGAAATATCTATATACATAAAAAAATCAAATAAGTTGTAAAAAACGTATATTTCTTATTATATATTATTTGATAAAAAAATGAGTAAATAGGATAATATAGTTAAATATCATAATTAAAATTATAGAATTTGATAATAATCGAAATATATAATTTATCTAAACATTTAAATTGGATATTAATACACTCATTATATATGATGAATAAATTTACTACATATATAACTATAAATGAAAAATTTAAAAATAAAAATAAATAGTTTACTATGAAAAAATTTGTTGCATAAGCAATTGAAGTTACTACAATTTAAATCTAATTATCAAACAATTAATATTTCTATTTCATCATCTAAATTATAATAACAGAAAATAAATTTTATAGGTTATAACATTATTTAGCTATCGACCAATATGCAAACTATGAATTGTCGAAAAAGTTAT